ACTGGACGACCATCACGTTCTACTATGAAACTCCTCATTAGTGTGCATCCATGATTCAATTCACGAGATTACGAACCCACGATCTTCGGTCTCTCTCTCGACAACACTTAACTTCTAAATCATTAAGCTGACAACCAAAGGTGTTAATATCTAACTTCAACTATGCTACGAAATTTCACTACCATTATCCATTTTCTGAGGTAGATACCATTACCATTATCATTATAATTATGCATAATAAATAGCCAACTTTACCTAAGTTCAATTTCACACCTTAGTCAAACAACAATAATGTAACAAAATTACATTTTATTCATTCAATCTCTATGATTAAACTAAAACAATCCAGTAAATTAAAAACGTAAAAAATAAAAAAATTTTTTTTTTAAATTATGCATCGTTACGTTTGCCAAAAAAAAGAAAAAAAAGAAAGAAAGAAACAAAGAAAAAAGAGAGCTCAATGTTCAACTTTTTTTTTCGAAAATACTGAGTTCGAACTTCTTTGGAGGGGCGGGGTTGCACGATTGTTTACTAAATGAATCGTAATGTTTAAATTATGCATCGTTACATTTTCCAATGAAACAGAGAAAAAAAACGAAAGAAAAGGAGTTCAATGTTCAATTTTTGTTTTAAAAATAAATGAACATAGAACTTCTTAAGGGGTGTGTGTGTGTGTGGTTCAGTCTTCAGTCTTCAGTAATAAGGATATGGTTGATTGTTTACTGAATGAATCATGGTACTTAATTAAAGAGTCACACCTATTTAAGTGATTTATGCAAATTCATTTTAAATAGAATCATTCAGAAGTGTTATCTCGTAATGAAAATTCATTATTCGGTTTGAAATCATCATATTATAATTAGATGGATAAAGTTTAAATAAACAAAAAAAACAAAGAACAAACAGAATTCGTTTGATAACTTAAACTGTGTTATAACTTGAGGATAGTTTAGATTGTGAACTGTTGCCGTCAGAAGACCCTGCCGACTCACTTACTTACTGTTATATCTAGAACTTTAATTCTTGCAATGCCGGGTACTACGAGACTACTTCAACGATCGATCCCGCAACGTCGCAAGAGAGAAGACAAAAGACTAGTAAGTAGGAAGTTTATTCCCCAAAACAGTGACAAGATATAGTACAAAAATCTCATGTATTTATAGTTTTTGGCTGAAAGTAAATCATCATTTCGGACAACCAATAGGCACACAGGGGATTCCTCTTATTCATCCAATGGGGAAGCTACATGTCGACAATCTAGAATGTCCCCCTAGCAGTGATTGGATGGAATGTCTTTGGCTCTTTCTGGGCTTCTTGCGGCTTCCTTGAGTTTACCAACGATCCATCCTTATACTTACTTACACTTGTCACCCTTCGTGGAGGAGTATAGTCCGCTCAGCAGCATTTTCAATCTAACTCTGTCTTGAGAAATCTTTTAAAATTGTTTTCAGTCACTATTCATCCTTTTAATGTCTGCTTCAAATTCATAAGAAAGTGTGTTCTTTGATCTTCTTTTATTTTATTTCTCTTTAAGATTCTAGGTAGTAAGCGATTGCTTCGTAATGCAGTTTGATGATTTCCGTAATGTGTATCCTATTCACCAACTCCATCGTTTCCCTTCCTAATTTCCTCCTCCTCCTCCTCCTCATCTGGAACCTGATGGTTTGTTATCTCCCACAATAGTAGTAGGTTGTTGCTGATGGTTTCCGTCCAACGAAGGACATAAAGTATCTTGCGTATACAACTGTTCATAAATACTTGTACAGTTTTGATGATGGTTGTGGTAGTTCTCAAAGTTTGAGCTCCGTACAATATAACTGACTGTGTTCACGTTCGAATGGAAGATTGTGACTTTGATAATGGTCAACAAACGGTTTTTTTGACTTGCATACGTTCTCCCATTTACATCTGCATCAGATCATCCACATTCATCAATGATGCTATCCAGATAGGTGAATCATTCTACCTCTTCCAGAGTTTCTCTATCAATTGTGATATCAGGAGAGCCACTGCATCATTATTTAGTCCATATGTAGAACTTCTAAATAATGTACAGTATTCTTAGCTTATTTATTACAGAACCCAGGATATATGGATATCTTAGAGTTCATAATACCACTGACTAACTTTGTAAATGAGAAGAAAACTATGTGGAAAGACATATATATATATAGAAGAAATAAATTATGGCTGGCATTGGAATCCTGACTGATCGTTAATTTTTATTTTTGGGACTTATCCACTCAGAATGTCAATCATGGAATCATTTTCAAACACTTATTAACAATCACAGTGGAGATATCTAGAATTCATAGCTAAATGGATAATGCATTACTTTCTGTCATGAAATATAAGGGACTTGATCATTGATGTGAGTAAAAACCGTGGGATGCAAATACATACAACTGGTGAGTCCTGAGGAGGACGAAACGCCCGTTCCCATGCTAGCCACAAACCATCTACTTTATTTATATAATTTTGCATTTGTACAACAGTATGGTCCAAATTATAAACCTTTCATTATATACATAAAGATCATCAACGAAAAATCCAAAATCACCAAATTCGAAAAAAGCAATACTTAAACTATTAATAGTTGGGATCATGAGTCAACTGAAGTTAGACCACCATGAAAAAACTGAAAGCACTGGATGGCCGTTTCGTCCTCTTGTGTGACTCCTCAACAGTGCTCATCCACAATCCCGACTAACAAGATCCGAACCCAGGACCTACCAGTCTCTAGCCAGAGCCCTTAACCAATAGAACACTAAGCCGGCATCCAACGGTGTTAATGTCTAACTTCAACTGGGTTCGAATCTCGCTAAGATCTTGGGTGCGCACTGCTGAGGAGTCCCATAATAGGACGAAACGGCCGTTCAGTGCTTCCAGGTTTTCGATGGTGGTCTAGCTTCAACTGGCTCATGATTTCAACTTTGAAATATACTGAAATCTCCACAAATCCCCTTCTGATTATAATGAAACCAGTTTCTCAATATAAGACAGTGACTAATGTACCGATATTTGCCTAGGTTAGAAAAGGTTTCTCAACGGAGGATTCTGGTGATACAAACAATACTTGAAAGATCTCTCAATATTCATAAAATATGATAAATGCAGTGTGATTACACTATAAAATGCATTATAAACTCTTCTTCGACTTTTTATACATTTTACATTTCATTATTATATTCGTATTAATTTCATTGATTCATTAGTGTCACAAACTCCTCCTGTAGCTCCTCCCGAGGCTACGTTCAGTCCCAAGCCCGAATAAAGGAGGAGGGTTGAGTATAGGGTTAGCGACCCCATCCCGTTGAAAACTAACCCGCTCAAAAAAACGCTAACCAGAAAAATTAGTGTCACAGTAATACATCATTTTTCAGAGTATATAACATAAATCTTGTTGTTTCAAGTCAATCTGACATTAACTATCTGACTGAGATATACGATAACTTTACCTAACAGTAATAGAACTTTCTTCAGTTCATAGATTACAAATCAGTGTGTTAAAATTGGATTCTGTTATGTTGCCTACCATCTAACAATCAAATCATTATCAGATACTGATTTAAACATGGGGCGGAGACGTGGAGAACTACGAAAGCTATCATCCAGAAGATACAGGTGTTTATTAACAGATGTCTACGCAAGATACTTCGGACCCGTTGGTCAGACACTATCAGCAACAAGTTACTGAAGGAGAAAACAAACCAGATTCCATCCAGTGGATGAAGAAATCAGGAAGAAGAGCTGGAAGTGGATAGGGCACACCTTGAGGAAATCACCCGATCGCGTCACAAGACAAGTCCTCACATGAAATCCTGAAGGCCAAAGGAAAAGTGGAAGACCAACGAGCACATTACGCTGAGAAATGGAGACAGACATGAGAAGAATGAACAAAAACTGGATAGAACTAGAAAGAAAGGGGTAGGACAGAGTGGGTTTGTAGAATGTTGATTGGCGGCCTATGCTCCATTGGGAGTAACAGGCGTAAGTAAGTAAGTAAGTTTCAAACATTAGATTCAATTCAATCAAGTTAAATACAAAGTATAGATTGATACATCTTTGAATATGTTTTTAACCACAAATCTAGACTACCATAACAATAACAAATAGTTTGATCATCTAATCATCTACAATGGAATTATACATTATCTAACTCATATATTATTGAGTAAATTTTTTTAAAATTGACCTTATAATGAATATACATAACTGCTATAACAATCTTATTGCTCATACTTCGTGGATTGGTTGAAGTTAGACATTAACACCGTTGGATGCCGGCTTAGTGTTCTATTGGTTAAGGGCTCTGGCTAGAGACTGGTAGGTCCTGGGTTCGGATCTTGTTAGTCGGGATTGTGGATGAGCACTGTTGAGGAGTCACACAAGAGGACGAAACGGCCATCTAGTGCTTTCAGGTTTTTCATGGTGATCTAACTTCAATTGACTCATGATTTCAACCATGAAAATCTTATTTGTGTTTCATTTTACAATCGTATATAAGTATCATAACTTTATCATGTAAAACAATACTAATGATAATAAGAATATAAATATATATTTGGTCAAGCTACTTGGTAATTATAACTCCCCCTGTAGCTCCTCCAGGGTCTACTCCCAGTCCCAAGCCCGTGTAAAGGAGGAAGGTTAAGCATTGGGTTATCGACCCCATCCCGTAGAAAACCAACTCGCTCAAAAAAAAAACGCTAACCAGAAAAAATATTCAAACCATTTAACCTCTGCCCTTGGAGTTGTAGGAATAATTATCACGTCTCATAATGAAAGCCGAGTTCTTTCGGAAGTCATGAGGTCGATGCACCTTCTAACAACCAGTGCAACACTCTTTATAGGTACATAGAACTTGATTTAGTATAGTAACCAAGGAGATAAAACGAGTAAACATAGACATTGATATTTTTTTAAAATAATAATATATATATTTCTGTATTTCTTTCCAAGTATATTGCTTTGTTTCTTATTTATTTTCAAGAATTTGTTTATCTAAATACTATTGAATCATCTTTATCTAATGAATTTAAATGAGATAATGACTTCCATGGATGGTGTTTTATAATTCCATGACGATTCCTTTCATTCATATCTATATTAATTCCATTACTATCATCATCGTCATCATCATTGTCCTTTTCTTTCCAAGTTTGTAAACTGTCATAAAGATTTGGATAGGGATTCATCATTTGTAAAGGGATATCATTTCTATCAAATTGTAGATCATCATAATGATTATCATTATTATTGTTACCATGAGGATGATCATAATGATGAAGGTCGCGTTGTTGTTCATGACCTGTTCTTCCTTTATCCTTTTCTTGTTCTTGTTCTTGTTCTTGTTCTTGTTCTTCTTCTTCTTCGGCCTCTCTTTGTTGTTTGATTAATTGTCTTAAAATCAATAAACGTATCTTTTCTAAAGTGAGTTGTTTGGTTCTATGTAATTTTTCAATAGTTAGTTCAGAATCATTGAGTATCATATTCTTATCATCATTATCGTCAGCATCGTCTTCATGATTAGGGTAATCAGGTATACTGTAGAGATTCCTCCTTTTCTTCATATTATAATAACGTTGTTGATGATGATGTCGTTCACGATGTTCTTGATTACGTTTCTCTCTATTATCATCAATAAGTTGACCGCCTACTTTTTCATCAAGTAAATAATCTTGATTTATTTTGGGTACTTTTATAAATCCTCTCTTCTCATAACTTGTATTATCATCATCATCATCATCATTACTATTAATGATATTCCATAATTGTTTTAATGAGTTCAACATATGTTCAGCAATTTGTGCACGATATTTAGCTTCATTAGCTTCTTTATTTAATAAATTAGCTTGTTGAATTGATTCACTAGCAACATTCTCTAAATTCATTGCTTTATTCAATTCTGAATCAATTTGTAAAGCTAATGCTAATTGTAAACGAAGTGTTTCTTCTTCTTCGTCATTTGGTAATGTTGAGGAGATAGATAATGATGTTGGTGATGTTGGCAGTAATACTGACGACGGCGGCGATGATGAGTCAATTGATGTTGGAATGATGGGTAAAGTATCATATACTAATAAACTTTCATCACTGATATTGTTAAATTTAGAATGATCATTAGAATTCACATAATCTATTGAATTCAATGGTGAACTAGATGTATATCTTAAAACATTAAGTAAAGTAGTTACTAAGGTATAAATACTGTATAGATTCCAGAACATATATTATGTAATATCAAAGATGTATATATATTCTTGTCTTTATAAAGTATATAGATAGGAGGAAGCATATATACTTTACAAGTATACTATTCAATTCATTAGTATACTCTATTGTAAATGTAGACTACTGTGGTTGTTGACGTTGTTGTTCTGTACTTTTCTATACTCATTCTTTGGCATTATCAACTTAACTATAGATTAATATAAGTACACGAGTATTCTTTTTTTTTTCTTTCTTTAACCATAAACTCTAAACTTGATAACAAACCATAATATGATTGGTTCTTATTCATTATGGGAAATTATTTTGATAATAACAAGCATTCCTATATACTCATAATATACCCATTCAATTAGATAGGTAGACATAAATCAATGTATCTATGATGTTTTTGTATGTATCTATGTTGGCAAACTAAAGAAAATCGATACATTCCTATTTCACGAGATAATAAATAAGGAAGTTGATCGATACATTGAATGTTTAAGTGTTAACTAACCAATTAAATGTGTTAGACCTACCTTTCCGATCTAGGGTAAAGAAAATATTAAGACTTAGAGAATGGGAACAATAGTAGAATGAGATAAAAAAACAAAACAAAGCTTCATTTAAACAAAAATGAAACAAGAACAAAACATGAAGAATATGTCTGTGAAAGTGATTATAGTTTAATGATGCTTGTATGTGAATTGAGTAATAGTATAAAGATGACAATTTTATGCTTGAATTTCAAGGTGATGATTTTTAGAGCAAAAGAAATCCTGACTATCAATAAGGTATTATAAGTAAAGATGGATAATGGATAAGTGGAATCCAGGATGCGCGTTTCGTCCTATTTGGGACCCGTCATCTGGATGTACTCACATCCCAGAGTTGATGTTCACTCTGGGACTCAAACTCAGTACCTTTCGCTTCAAACGCCATCGCGTTATCCACTCGGCCACCGAGTCCTGATAGTCACTTGTTTGTTCAATGGGGTGAAGTTTGAATTCACTTGGTATTATTTGTTTGAATCTTCCCATCGATGTGTTAGGACTGTAACTGGTCAGTCTCTAATTCCAGTCCCACATTGAACATCAGTTCTGAGATGCAGGTACATCCGGACGACGAGTCCCAAACAGGACGAAACGCGCGTCCTGAATTCCACTGCTAGTCACCATCCATCTTTGCTTACCATGCTTGTGAATCAAGGCTATATCGAGGCAATACGCACAGTATGCACATATGCCAATTAGAGACTGACCAGTAGCAGTCCTAACACATCGATGGGAAGATTTAAACAAACAATACTAAATGAATTTAAAGTATGACCTTATTATTATAGTACTCATTACTTCAAGTTTGAATACTCAACTGATCTTCATTTATTTCCTAAACTTTGCACATTATCTCTTAACTAACTCATGTTTAAAATTATTTGGTATTGTTTATTTGAATCTTCCCATTGGTGTTTAGGACTGCAATTCATCAGTCACTTACTAGCATATGTGCATACTGTATGTAATACCTCGATATTGCCTTAATTCACAAGCATTATAAGCAATGATGGATAGTGACTAGCTGTGGAATCCAAGACGTGTGTTTCGTCCTATTTGGGATTCGTCATCTAGATGTACTTACATCACACAGTTGATGTTTACTATGGGACTCGAACCCAGTGCTGTTCATTTCAAACGCCATTGCGTTATTTACTTAGCTATTGAGTCCTGATAGCCACTTGCTTGTGTATTGGTTCCAGGTACATCCACCTGATCAGTAAGAAATAGGACGAAAACACACATCTTGCATTCTACTGCTAGCCACCATCCATCTTTGTCTACAACTCATATATTCAGATTGTTTTTAATGTTCACTCTTTTCTTACAATGTGACCAATTGAGTTGAAACCTTGAATGTTTTTCTTTCATCGCAATACTTCCATTTTAATGAGGTAAACTATACTGATCAAACATAAATGTTCAATGAACTAATAAGGATTTAAACTGTATGGTATGTGACTTGTATAACCTAGCCATTATGTACAACAATATCACCCTAACCCGAACCAGTATTAGAACAAATTGCTAAGAAACCAGAGATGATTAGATAAAAGTATGATGTTCACCTATACAGTCATTAACTATTAATATCTATGGAACATGGAGGTTAAAACTTTGTGGTCAGAGTTTACATAATATTTGAAATCTATAATTAATAGGAATGTGTAAGGATAGATATTTGGTAAACTCAAGGAAGCCTCAAGAAGCCTAGAAAGAGCCAGAAGACATTCCATCCAATTACTGCTAGGGAAACATTCTAGAATGTCGACATATAGCTTCCCCATTAGATGAATATGAGGAACCTTCTGTGTGCCTGTTGGCTGTCCGGAAATGATGATTTACTTTCAGCCTAAAACTATAAATACATGAGACTTTTGTACTATATTTGACACTGTTTGAGGAATAAAATTCCTACTTACTAGTCTTTTGTCTTCTCTCTTGCGATGTTGCGGGATCGATCGTTTAAGTAGTCTAGTAGTACGCGGCGTGAGTTGATTGAAGCTAGACCACCACGGAAAGCCTGTAAGCACTGGACGGCTGTTTCTTCCAAGTATGGAACTCCTCAGCGGTGAGCATTCACGATCCCGTTAGGTGACATAACAAAACTCATTAATTTCTTAGTAAATATTATAATCAACAATAAAATGATATTCCAAGATATCTGTCGAGATTGTTATCGATTGCTTCATTATTTTTGGCCTGGTACTTCCAGTTCAGCGAAATTAACTGTTAAATACTTTTTAATTTGAGCTCAGGTATCTTTAGTACCCCGCCTTAGGAACATGGTGAATCCTAGTAGGACCTTCTGGAGAAGAGTGCTACATAGAAGCACCGCAGAACTACCAGGGATCAATAGTTGTTTTTGCATTGCTTAGGCAGAACTATTACATCGCTCGTTCTTTCCCTTTTTTTGGGCGGACCAATGATTCTTTGTAGCAATCGTAATCATTTGTGGGTATAGGTATTACCACTCACGTTAGTACATGGGATCAATGCCATGATCCAGGAGGCACAACGAGGACGTGTGAGTCGGATTTTGCCTCCCATGTATCTTTAGTTCACAAGGAATCTTGCTGCTTGTATGGTTTAGCTGCACTGATGAGCTTGCACAAAGCCTAGATTACTTCTAGTCCTCCTGAAAATCAAAGTAAAATTACTCACTTGTGATGCATTGTTAATTTGTTGATTCCTAAGTAATGAGTTTGACAGAGATTTAACTTTGTATTTCATTAAGACTAATCCTCAATACCTATTGAGAAGTATGCTCGAATTGATTCAAATAACCCTGAGATTTTGTAATATTCATAATGCACGTTGCTTCAATCACATTAGAACAGAATATAGATAAATTGACATAAAACATTGTAATATGCATCTAACCATTTTTCATAACCCTCACAAGAATATCACAGATTAGTAACCGATGCCTTGTTTTTATAGTCTTAAGTCTCATTCGAGTTCTATCTATCAATTTACGATGTGACTATAAGTCGAAGTAATGCGCTATCACTTGTATTATTTTCATGTTAAGTGTTTGGAAAGATTTAAGGAAATAATATCAAGTGAATGTAACTTACTTACTGACTTACTTACGCCTATTACACTCAATGGAGCATAGGCCGACGACCAGCATTCTCCAACACACTCTGTCCTCACCCTTCCTTTCTAGTTCTATCCAACTTTTGTTCATTCTTCTCATATCTGTCTCCATTTATCGGCGTAATGTCTTCTTTGGTCTTCCACTTTTCCTTTGGCCTTCAGGATTTCATGTGAGGGCTTGTCTTGTAACGCAGTTGGGTGATTTCCTCAATATGTGTCCTATCCACTTCCAGCGCTTCTACTCATTTCTTCCTCCATTGGATGGAATCTGGTTTGTTTTCTCCTTCAGTAACTTGTTGCTGATAGTGTCTGACCAACGGATCCGAAGTATCTTGCGTAGACATCTGTTAATAAACACATGTATCTTATGGATGATGGGAAATGTAATCAACAATAAATGTTTGGTAGTCGATAACCTACCAAGTCAAAAGATGCGATTGCATCTGTATAACAACAATAAAAAATGGATGACAATTATAGTCAAGATAGAACTTGAAATCAGAATGGGAATTTGTGGAGATTGTAATAATTTTGACATTTGAATTCATGAATCGATCTAAGCTAGAAAACCATTGAAAACCTGGAATCATTGGATGACCGTTTCGTCCAGGTACAGGACTCCTCAGCAGTGCGCCGGTTCATTGGTCTAGAGGTTATACGTTCGCGTGTGAGCCCGAAGGTCCTAGATTTCCTGCAGGATGGTGGATATGCAATGATTAGAAGTCTCGTACTAGGGCGAAACGGTCGTCTAGTGATTTCAGGTTTTCAATGGTTGTCTAGCTTAGATCAACTAGTGGATTCAACTGTTCAAAACTTGAAATGGTACTATACTAAAAGTAGAAATTTTCATGTAATATAAATATTGGACTATGATGAACTTGAGATTTGATACAGTCGTGATGATCTATCATTCATTGTTCTTTCAAACTAGCTGGCGAACCACTACAAACAATGGAACTTGACAAAGTTTTTTATCTCCTATTAAGGTGCGCATAATAGTGCTAACCCTTATTATTACTTCTCAAACCAAATATTATAGATTCGGATAATTTAAAATTTGACCGATAAGATACATGTAATTTTTATTGTATAATTGTTAAGCAACTAAACTGTGGATATTAATGTTCCTCTGATTAAAAGATCTACTATGATCTATAGAATATTATTATATATAGTTGAAAGCGTGAGTCAATTGAAGCTAAACCACCATGGAAAACCTGGAAACACTGAACGGCCGTTTCGTCCTATTATGGGACTCCTCAGCAGTGCATATCCACGATCCCGAACTCACGAGATTGGAACCCAGGACCTACCAGTCTCGCCCCAGAGCACTTAACCGATAGACCACTGAGCCGGTCGGC